TGGTTTCATCTCATGGATTCTTCACTCACACTGACACTGTTATTAATATTTGTGTGTGTGTGTTGTGTTGTGTTGTGTGTGTGTGTGTGTTGTGTGTGTGTGTGTGTTGTGTGTGTGTGTGTCAGGTCTGTTTCAGCCTGCTGTGTATCATCAGCGAGAGGACGGAGAGTTCGAGATCATCGACCAAGAAGGACAAGAGAAGGTCAGGAGCACATGACTGCACCTGCCCCTGCCCCTGCCCCTGCACCTGCCCCTGCACCTGCCCCTGCACCTGCACCTGCCCCTGCACCTGCCCCTGCACCTGCCCCTGCCCCTGCCCCTGTGTCCATAAGCAAGACACTTCACCTCATCTCCTCCGTCTCTCCTCCAGGTTCCGTGGATCCCGTTGGACCCTCTGGACCCGGACCTGACCCGGTTCCCGGAGTTCGGGTCGGCGAGTCCGCTCCAGGTGACGGTTCGTGCCGGGGAGGTGCTGTACCTGCCCTCGCTCTGGTTCCACCACGTCAGACAGAGCCACGGCGCCATCGCAGGTGAGACACGGTACTGCAGCTGCGGACGAACCACAAACCGAGACGACAGGGAGTTTGTGTTTTCTTCACAGAGACGTAAATCTGTCGTGTCTTGTCTCGTCGGTGTCTCTGTCGTGTCTCTGTCGTCTGTCGTGTCTCTGTCGGTGTCTCTGTCGGTGTCTCTGTCGGTGTCTCTGTCGGTGTCTGTCTGTCTTGTCTCGTGTCTCTGTCGTGTCTCTGTCGTGTCTCTGTCAGTGTCTCTGTCGTGTCTCTGTCTGGTGTCTGTCTGTCTCGTGTCTCTGTGTCGTGTCTGTCGTGTCTCTGTCTGGTGTCTCTGTCGTGTCTCTGTCGGTGTCTCTGTCGTGTCTCTGTCGTGTCTCTGTCGTGTCTCTGTCGGTGTCTCTGTCGTGTCTCTGTCGTGTCTCTGTCGTGTCTCTGTCGTGTCTCTGTCAGTGTCTCTGTCGTGTCTCTGTCCGTGTCTCTGTCGTGTCTCTGTCGTGTCTCTGTCGGTGTCTCTGTCGGTGTCTCTGTCCGTGTCTCGTGTCTCTGTCGTGTCTCTGTCGGTGTCTCTGTCGTGTCTCTGTCGTGTCTATGTCGTGTCTCTGTCAGTGTCTCTGTCAGTGTCTCTGTCGTGTCTCTGTCGTGTCTCTGTCAGTGTCTCTGTTGTGTCTCTGTCGTGTCTCTGTCGTGTCTCTGTCGTGTCTCTGTCGTGTCTCTGTCGTGTCTCTGTCGTGTCTCTGTCTGTCTCTGTCGTGTCTCTGTCGTGTCTCTGTCGTGTCTCTGTCGTGTCTCTGTCGTGTCTCTGTGTGTCTCTGTCGTGTCTCTGTCGTGTCTCTGTCGTGTCTCTGTCGTGTCTCTGTCAGTGTGTCTGTGTCTTGTCTCTGTCGTGTCTCTGTCGTGTCTCTGTTGTGTCTCTGTCGTGTCTCTGTCTGTCGTGTCTCTGTCGTGTCTCTGTCTGTGTCTCTGTCGTGTCTCTGTCGTGTCTCTGTCGTGTCTCTGTCTGTGTCTCTGTCGTGTCTCTGTCGTGTCTCTGTCGTGTCTCTGTCGTGTCTCTGTCTCTGTCGTGTGTCTGTCTTTGTCGTGTCTCTGTCGTGTCTCTGTCGGTGTCTCTGTCTGTGTCTCTGTCGTGTCTCTGTCGTGTCTCTGTCGGTGTCTCTGTCGTGTCTCTGTCGTGTCTCTGTCGTGTCTCTGTCGTGTCTCTGTCAGTGTCTCTGTCGTGTCTCTGTCCGTGTCTCTGTCCGTGTCTCTGTCGTGTCTCTGTCGTGTCTCTGTCGTGTCTCTGTCGTGTCTCTGTCGTGTCTCTGTCGTGTCTCTGTCAGTGTCTCTGTCGGTGTCTCTGTCGTGTCTCTGTCGTGTCTCTGTCGGTGTCTCTGTCGTGTCTCTGTCGTGTCTCTGTCGTGTCTCTGTCGTGTCTCTGTCGTGTCTCTGTCTGTGTGTCTCTGTCGGTGTCTCTGTCGTGTCTCTGTCGTGTCTCTGTCGTGTCTCTGTCGTGTCTCTGTCGTGTCTCTGTCTCTGTCGTGTCTCTGTCGGTGTCTCTGTCGTGTCTCTGTCGTGTCTCTGTCGTGTCTCTGTCGTGTCTCTGTCGTGTCTCTGTCTCTGTTGTGTCTCTGTCGTGTCTGTGTCTGTCGTGTCTCTGTCCGTGTCTCTGTCGTGTCTGTCGTGTCTCTGTCGTGTCTCTGTCGTGTCTCTGTCGTGTCTCTGTCGTGTCTCTGTCGGTGTCTCTGTCGTGTCTCTGTCGGTGTCTCTGTCGTGTCTCTGTCGTGTCTCTGTCAGTGTCTCTGTCGGTGGCCCCCCCCCCAGACGCTCACACACACGAAATAAAAAACATTTCACCAGTTTAACACCAAACAACAAGAAAACATGAATATTTACACGGAAACTACAAGAGAAGATCTGAATTCAGAATAAAAATCATCATGTGAACGTGGGCAGTGAAAAGCACTCGTGGTGTGTGACGAGTGTGGCTCGTGTCTGGGAGGGCATCTGGGTTT